CCTCATGATGTTCCAAACTCGTAAGACCTTCGTTCATCTTCAGAACACAAATTAAGATATTTTTGATGGAATCTGAAATCTCTCTGACCCTCCCATAGGATCCTTACACGATCAACGTCCAGAAACGTAGCAAGGAGATCGGTAAAATAATCCATGTGACATCAGGGGTTCAACCGTAATTTTACGAAGCTACGAGAATACTTTTTTTGCGCAAAAGAAAAAAAAAAACGACTTTATTCAAATTCGTCTCCTCCACGTCACCCTATAGCGCCATTTTGGAGAATCCCTTACCAAAAAGTAGTATACTTCAAGTTTATTTTAGTAAGTATACTTAAGTAAAGTTCAAGTATATTTTTAAGTAAACTTTATGTAGTAAGTATACAAATATCAGTGTACTAGTAGTATACTTGTAAGTGTACTATTTCAATACTCCTTGGGACAAGTATACTTAAATGTCATTTTAAGTATATTTCTGAGAAGTACATAAAGCCCATTTCTGAGAAGTACATAAAAAGTAGACTAAAAGTATACTTTCCTATTTTTTAGTTTAAAAGAAGTATACTAATAGCACACTTGAATAAACTTCTTTTTCGTAATGGATATCCACTGAATGTAAACCGTTCAGACATAAACCGTTGGCGTTTGCTGTCCTGTATCAGCTGCGCCAGGCGGATACGTTTTCCACGTTGTACGTACGCTTTGATTTGAACGAAAACAATGTATCATCCGCGTGTCGCAGCTGACACAGAACAGCAAACGCCAACGGTTTATATCTGAACGGTTTACGTTCAGTGGATATTCTCCAAAATGGCGCTATAGGGTGACGTGGAGGAGACGAATTTGAATAAAGTCATTTTTTTTTTCTTTTGCGCAAAAAAAGTATTCTCGTAGCTTCGTAAAATTACGGTTGAACCCCTGATGTCACATGGATTATTTTACCGATCTCCTTGCTACGTTTCTGAGCCTTGATCGTGTAAGGATCCTTGCTGTCTATGGGAGGGTCAGAGAGCTCTCGGGATCAGGCCCGTAGCAGCTATGAGGTCACCGAGGTCCGGACCTCGGTAAATTTTTCATGTTCAAAAATAAAATTTGTTCTCTGAATGACTAATTTGCTGTTAAACTCCTCATATGAATGTCTGCATGTATAATTCAGTTTAATTCAGAATGTTTAGCGTCTGTGGTATAAAAATGATCGCTGCGAGACACTGGTGGAGTGAACGAGGCTTGAGAGAGTTGTGAGTCAGGGCACGGGTGCAGCCTCCGTGTTGCCAGATCCAGCTATTATAAGCGTTTTTTTTTACTTGTCTTTTCCACTTAATTTGACACTTTAGAAAGTTAATAAAGTAGGAAGTTGTGGTTTAGGGTCAGCGATATCTTTATCTTATCTAATTTGCAAAAGTTTTGAAATAATTTCGGTTTATTTTTATTTATTTATAGGTTTTTGTTTATTTTAATAGCAATATCTGGCAACATTGCATCATCGGCACTTAAACTGGCAGTAACCAAAAAAGTCCATGGACAGGTTATTGCTGACAAGATACGACATTCGGTAAGGGAAACGCAAAAAAAAAAACAAAAAAAAAATCATGATATTATCTGTCAGAAATGTTATCAACGCTGTCAAAATCTGTAGCATTTAACACTAGTGCAGAGATCTGTAGAACAAGTAGGTTACAGAATGAAACGAAATACGCAAACACTAGCCATGAAGAAGTCTATGCTAAGTCATTCAGTATAGTAGTTACATTTTCACAAATCATGCTATATAAGCATTCATAAGAGCACTAGACAAAGTTATCAGCTATATAATGGTTATAAATAAAACTATAACAGCAATATGTATGGTTGCATGAATAATAAACAACTGATAAAATGATCCACCCAATAAATATAGTAAAGTATTAACAAATTTTGATGCAATAAATAGGGTATGATTTAAAAATGATCACCCCTCCAAAACAGAGAAAACATCTTTTTACAAACATCTACATTTCTGTCTCTTTTAAAGTGTTAATAGTGCATATAACTAGATGTATTTATAGGGGTTATTATAGCACAATTCTATAATAAGGGGGTTATTATAGAAACCCCCTGGACCTCACTAATTTTCAAAGCCTGGCTACGGCCATGCTCGGGATGCATCAAAAATATCTTAATTTGTGTTCCGAAGATGAACGGAGGTATTACGGGTTTGGAACGACATGAGGGTGAGCAATTAATGACAGAATTTTTATTTTTGGGTGAACTATCCCTTTAATGCGTCCTTGCTGAATTAAAGTAATAATTTCCTTCTTTAATTTATATAAATCTTACTTACCCCAAACTTATGGCAGTGTATCATAGTTTCCACAAAAATATGAAGCAGGACAACATTTCAACATTAATAATAATTCTTTATCAGCGAAACAGCATATTAGAATGATTTCTGAAGGATCATGTGACACTGAAGACTGCAGTAATGATGCTGAAAATTCAGCTTTGCATCACAGAAATAAATGACATTTTAAAATATATTCATATAGAACACAGGTATTTTAAATTGTAATAATATTTCACAATATTACAGGATTTTACTGTATTTTTGAGAAGAGACTCTTTTGACCGGTACTCTATGTGCAAGGGTTTATGTACAAGCCCATGTGATGAATAACTGGAGCTTAATGCAGTAAATATGAAGCAGACAGAAGTGAACTGTGTACTTTTTGACATGTAAGTTCAACAACCAAACAATGCATTTAATAGAGCAGTTTTGTTCAGAGCGAAATTATCTACAAACAGAAGCTGTTTTCTGATCAATTATAACTGAATGTGTTTTCCTCTCTACAGCGCATGAAGTATCTACGCCGTCTGCTTATGACACATCACAGGCCTTTCATTCTGTAATTCATTTTATTCTGACACAGAAACACAAAAAAGATAAAAGAAAATGGAAAAAGGAATATCACAAAGAGGTAGCGAGAAAACATTTCGTAAGAAAAAGGGATATAACAAGAAAAAAAGAATAGCCTCTGAGTCAAAAACATGACAATTTTGTGGAGATAACAAATGTTCCCTGCTAAAAATGAGGTGTAACTCAACACAGACTGACAGAAAATATCCAGAGCGCTATCAGCAAAGTTTGCCCTGACAAAAATATACAAGTATATTTCTATTTAAAGAAAAGTACAGACTCACTGGCATGAAAAAGGCTTCAGGCGCCATTATTCTGTACTAACTGAAAGTACCCAACACGATCTTATCTTCCAAATTAAAATTCATGACATAAATAGTCTTGAAAAATGAATAAATAAAAGCAACAGTGGATCGGGGCAGAAAGGGTCAGGCCTCTGTAACAGCAGAAAATTAAATGTCATTGTTCGCATCTTAAAAAAGGTTTTAAAAAAAAGAGAGAAATACTCTTGCCTTTGATTTCAAGGGATCCTGAAATACAAAAATGAATTATCTTGGGGACTTTTATTGTCTCTGTGTAATTCTTTTCAATACAGTGGTTCAATAAAATGAACAAAGACTCATACAGCACACACTGTATAAATCTCTCTGGGGAGATACAGCAACAATGAATTGAAGCTGCTGATAATGACATTTATTTCAATGTGTCTGTCTGTTTTAGTAGCAGATTTCCTAAAGGAATTATGTACACATGGACACATGTCCATGTTAATATATATATATATATATATATATATATATATTAGTGCTGTCAAACGATTAATCATAAATATATAAATGTATATACATGTAAATATTTTCTGTATATATACTGTATATGTGTGATGTGTAATCGTTTGACAGCACTAATATACACACACACACACACACACACACACACACACACATAATTAGTAATATATATTCTAATTTCATTAAATAAAAAAATATAATTTATTTGTTTTATATATAGTGCAGCCATGCACTTACTGCATATAAATAAAAAATAAAATTCAAGAAAAAAACGATAATACAGATAGATATATAAATAATACAGATTTAATTTATATATATTATTAAATAATTCTACACACACACATACATATATATTAATAAGAAAAACGGTTATATATTTTATACAAATATCTCTTCAATTTAAGAGAAAATTGTTTAATTTTAACTATAGTTTAAAGTGTAACTGCTAAAAAAAATGACTATATACATTTTAAGCATACAATGTTATTTACATTTTATGTATTTTATTAAGCAAACATCTGTTTTTAATAAATTAGCTTTCTGCAGGCTGTAAAAGAACCAAGCAATGACTGTTGTGAATGCGGCGGAATCTATAACAAGTCTCATTTGCATAGAAAGGAGACATACTTATGCTAAAAATAATGACAATAACATAATTTAAATACTCATGACACAGCTCTATACTGGTGCTGCAGTGGATAGCGAATAAGATGCATGTGCGCTGAAACACGCACGCTAATGTGACGCAACCGGCGGCGTGATATTCCTGCTCAAGCTCGGGTTCACAGGCGTTTCCAGAGAAGAAAAAGCATTTGATTGGCACGAACATCTGCTCGTGTGGCAGCTCTTTCAGCCGCACGACTGCAGGTTGTGTTCCCACTTCACACCAGTACAGCTTCCTGTTATGAGAGCCACAAACAAAAACCCCTTCCCACAAACCCTCACTACATTATAGCAGCAGCATCAATCAAACGCCACGTGACAGCTCTGCTCATGTTCCACCATCAACCGCATCACAGCGTCCTCCAGCAGGTGCCTGACTGCCTGCAGCAACACTTCTGCTTATACGCGAGTGTAAAAAAGTCCTGATGGTTAGTGTTACCCTTTCATATTTTAATTATCAATAAAGCCGTATTTGATTATCGCGATTCGAAAAACTCAGGGTAATTATTCAGCAAAGTTAGCAACAGTCTCACGCATATGCAACATGCAGGTTTCGTTTTGTGTGAAACCATGACTAAAAACTATGCTGAGAGAGAAATTATATGAAAGAATGTGTAAATGAATGAATTCTATGAATGCATAAGTGAGAACCGAATGACTTCAGAAAAGTTTCAATGGCATTTTCTTTTCATCTTTCCTCTGTGCAATGCCTAATGAAGTAGTGTTTATAAGCACAGCGCTGCTTTGCTCACAGCGGTTACTGTGGAAACAGCTTTATTTCTGCTGTTCCATAGGCGCCACCTACTGTCAGACTGAATTTACATTTTATTCAGTCTGTCTGCTGTTTGTTCAGACTGATGCAAAATTTGGACCAAATTTTTGTTGTAAATTGGTAAAACAAGCTAATGTGCAATTGACCCTCGCAAAAACCTGCCCTCCTTAGTTACTGTTGCTATGTCCATCAAGCCATGCGCTCTCACACAACACATCGTGTTCTCACGCAGTAAAAAATAATGAATCATTTTGGTCACTATAATCATTGTATGAAATTTTGGTAACACTTTAGATTAGGGAGCACTATTCACTATTAACTAGTTGCTTGTTAGCATGCATATTACTAGCCTATTGGCTGTTTATTAGTATTTATAAAGCGTATTTTAATGCATGATCGTATTCTGGATCCCTTAATACTATCCCACTCTTAAACATAACTTACTATATATAAACAGCAAATTAGGATTAGTTAATTGAGGGAAAACTACCTAAAATCTAAAGTGCTACCAAAATTTACACGAGCGCCTCTCTCATCTTGTGTTAATGCAGGGTGGCTGGGATCGGGACCCGGGGTCCGTGCCCTTCTGCCAGCCTCATGATCTCCCGTGGAGCGCGGGACCCCACTGCGCTCGGCTCCTTCCTGCTGACTGTGGCATTAGAGACTCAAGCAGCAGGCGGTCCGCCACTGATCGCCCCACCTCTGCCCCGCTCCAGGTCACAGCAATGGATTTTGACATGAAAAGAATTCAAGGAGCTTTCTGGATTTAGATTTTCCCAAAAACCCTCTAGCAACAGGTTTGGGAGCATAAAACAACAGAGCAGGAGAGAAAACGCACCTTCAAACATAATTAGAAAAGGGGCTTTGTAGCATTTAAAGTCAGCATGAAATTAGTACTGAGTCTATTTAAATTCTTAACACATGATCCCTGATTTAAGAAAAATAAAATACAACCTTTCTTCAAAATGCAATTTCTCACATGTAAAATGACTTTTCTTTTCGCATGACATCAAAAATTCTTGAATTTTCATGATCCAATAAATCCCAAAGGGATAAAATCAAGCCCCATTCTACATTTTTTTTTTTTTTTTTTTTAAACGTTTTTTTTTTAATCCAAAACAAACTACTATCAAATTAAGTTTGGGTTTTAAAAGAAGTCTTTTCTGCTCACCAAGGCTGCATCTATTTGATAAAAAAAAAAAAACAGTAAAAATAGTAATATTGTGAAATACTATTACAATTTAAAATAGCATTTTTCAATGTGAATAGTTGTAATATACAATTTATCCCTGTGATGCAAAGCAGAATTTTCAGTCTTCAGTGTACATAACTGCAGCTTCCAAACTCTTGAGAAATGTATTTTGTATTATGTGAGAAAAATGGGCTGTGAATGTTTTCAAGTTTACTTCACAGGAAAGTTTAGTACGCTAATTACCACAGAAAATAATTCAACTGACAAAAGACTTGTGTTCACAGTAAATGCACTAATAATGGAAAGTGTCAGCGCTGGATATAAACATTTAAAATATGCAACAATCACACTGTTTCACAATTATAATTGCAGCATTTATAAACTACATGTTAAAGCGTGACAATAACCACTGTTTTACAGTATGTCATGTCATGACCAAACAACAAAATAAACCTGGTTCTTTCCACTTGGATGGGTGCTGCTGACATAAAACTCCATCCACCTTGTCCTCTAAAGGTGAAGTGCTTTATTTTTTCCATGTTAAAAAACTGCCAAAAACTGCATGTTAAAACAGCCTCGCTGCATATGATACAGTAATTCAAAATGGCAAAAGGTCACGCTGTTTGAAACCCTGAAAGTTTTTGTAATTTTTCAGCAAAGCTGCGGTTTTCTCACACATTTGGTGTTTTATTTTTTGTTCCATTTTAAAATACTTTCTTGTATCCTGACCTACATGATAAGACATTCAACACATTGTTGGACTCCATTGAAAGGTGTAAACACTGTGGCGCTTTAAAAAAGAACAGTGCTATTCAAAAGCAACAACAAAAGATTAATCAAAACAGATTTCCGTTTCTGACTCTCTTTATAATAACTTTTTATATAATAATGAATGTAGAGAATGTTAAAGCCCTGCGGTTGGCGGTGAACTTTGTCGTCGGGTGTGATAATTTCAGCGCAGCTTGTCTTAAGTACACAAAGGTGAAATTTACCCACTGGCTAAAGCTCAGTAATAAGAGGCACAGGTGCGCTGACGGCCATGACTGACGCTTGCTTTGGCAACTCTGACAGCGCTGTGGCTCTATTCCAGACGCTCTGTCACACCGCATCAGGACGGATTTCTATCCAGCACGCTGCTGCTGCTTTTATATCTGTGCACTGCATTGTTATAAAACAGTCCTGGCTGCTGATTGGTCAACACATGCTAAAATACACAATACAGCATGCAAAAGGAGCCCTAGCACACAGCATACATAAAGACCAACTACTAACCAGAGTGTACAAGTCACGACCACATCTAATAAAATTTGCCAAGTTAAATAAAGGAATAGTTCACCCAAAAGTGAAGATATCTTAAAGTTTACTCATCCTCAGGCCAGCCAAGATGTAGACGAGTTTGTTTCTTCTTCAGATTTGAAGAAATTCAGCATTCCATCACTTGCTCACCTGCAGTGAATGGGTGCCATCAGAATGAGAGTCCAAACAGCTGATAAAAACATCACAATAATCCACAAGTAATGAACACCACTCCAGGCCAATCAATGTATTGTGAAGCCAAAAGCTGTGTGTTCATAAGAAACAAATCCATCATTAAGTCCATAGTCCATAATATTGCATCCTCCAGTGAAAAAGTCATCTCATCTGAATCTTGAAGTTAAAAACATCTTAATGATGGATTTGTTTCTCACAAACACGTAGCTTTTGGCTTCACAATACATTGACTGATGGACTGGAGTGTTGTGGATTACTTGTGGATTATTGTGATGTTTTTATCAGCTGTTTGGACTCTCATTCTGACGGCACCCATTCACTGCAGAGGATCCATTGCTGAGCAAGTGATGGAATGCTGAATTTCTCCAAATCTGTTCCCATGAAGAAACAATCTCACAGAAATGCAGCTCAGAGAAGCACCAGTGTGTGTCTGATCACCACACGGTTCATACTAATCTTGAAGAGACTATAAGCCATGCTGAACAATGTACCGGCAGACAGTCGCGGGCGAGTTCTGGGCGTCTGCATCTCTTGGCGGGCGTGTGGCAGCATGTGGTAGCGCTTGGCTTCGTTCACCAGGTCCCTGCAGGCCTCTGAAGATTTGATCAGCTCCTCGTTGTCCACCACATTCAGCAGGTAGCTGGGATGGATGAACGGAAGCCGTACCACCGCCAACAGCTCAGACACATGCTGGATACAGGACAGACGGAGAGGAAACAGAGGACAGAAAAAAAGAAATGAGCGGGAAGAGAGAAAGAATGAAAAAAATGTGAGTTAGCTTTGTGCATTACACTCTCTTAATTGTGGTAAATTACCATTATGGATGGCCTCATGCCTTAATGCATTATTATTTTTAATGAATAAAAAAAAAAAAAAAATCTCTGGATAATTAAAATTCAAAAATGCACAGAAAAATTTGTAATGATGCATTCGTGTTTTCAAATTAGTTTCCTAGAAAAATTAAAAAAACAGTCTTCCAACAAAGATCCAAGGGGTGCTGTGTGAAGAAGCTCATTACAAGCACAGAGGTGCCAGTAAATAATAAATAGATATTGATACACATCATTCGGAGACAAACAACCTCTGCTAACGTCAAACCACACAAACATCAAAACAAGTCTGAATATCAGAGCTGGAAGTTAAACAGGTTCTTTTTTCCATTTTCAGTTGATTTACATTCAACAAACACTGTCAGAAACTGAATAAGTTATATAAGTTATACAAGTATGTATAACATGTTTCATACAGAACGGTATTTCAACAGACATACAGTAGTTGTTACCTGTAGCAGAAGAATCGCTTCTCAATATTATTAACTCGTTGTCATCTCTAGGTCACGTCCCAAAACCTTCAATTTGGCAGTTATTAAACCTCTTATTACGTAACCACAATTAGATTACAGATCCATGTCAAATTATTTGTTTATGTCTAAAATTTTAGATAAGCTGTGTCTGCTCAATTGTGCTCCTTCCAGCAAAAAATGTATAACTATGAAGAATTTCAGTCAGGTTTCAGGCCCCATCATAGCACAAAACTTCACTTGTTAAAATTACAAATGACTTGCTTCTTGCGTCAGACCAAGGCTGTATGTCATTGCTAGTTTTACTTGATCTTAGTGCTGTGTTTGACACTTTAGATCATGACATACTCAGAGATCGATTACAAAACTATATGGGTATTCAATGGCAGGCTTTAAGACGATTTAGATTCTACCTGTCTGACTGTTATCACTTTTATTTAAACGGGGAATCATCTCAATTAACGTCAGTAATGTATGGAGTGCCACAAGGATCTGTCCTAGGTCCTCTGCTATTTTCAATATACAGTACATGTTGACCCTTGGTAATATTATTTGAAAATACGGGATTACTTTCCATTATGCTGGTGAAACTCAACTATATAACAGTGTGTTTTAAAAATGTAAAAGATTGGATGACCAATAATTTTCTCCTATTAAATTTGGATAAGACAGAGATATTACTTATTGGACCAAAAAACAGTACACAGAATCTCTCAGATTACAAACTGCATCTAGACGGCTGCACTGTTATTTCCTCTACAGAAAAAAAATATTTGAAAATTAAATATTTCACATGTTACAAAAACTGCAATCTTCTATCTTAGAAACATTGCCAAGCTACGGAACATGTTACCTGTTTCTGATGCAGAAAAGCTAGTTCATGCATTCATGACCTCTAGACTGGACTATTGTAATGCACTGCTAGGTGGTTGTCCTGCTTCTTCAATAAACAAGCTACAGGTAGTCCAAAATGCAGCGGCTAGAGTCCTTTTACCAGGTCAAGAAAATATTATCATATTACCCCAATTTTATAATGTCTACACTGGCTACCTATCAAGTTCCGTGTCAGTTACAAAATATTACTACTTACTTATAACTTAAGGCCCTAAAAACTCTGGACTTCTGGTAGTACTTAGGATAGCAAAGTCCACTAAAGGAGGTAGCGCTTTTTTCGCATTTGGCTCCCAAACTCTAGAATAGCCTTCCTGATAATGTTCGAGGTTCAGACACACTCTCTCTGTTTAAATCTAGATTAAAGACACATCTCTTTAGTTGAGCATTCACATAATGCATCTCATAACTTTGTGCTTCAGTTATTTTTGATCAAATGCACATTATCATTCTTTTTCTTGGGTTGAACACACCATTTTTTGCTTGGTTGGAACAGCAGCTACGTTAATTTTTCTCTATTTGTTTCTCCGTTTCTGCCACAGGATTGGCATCCCATGGTAACTAGGAATTACACAAGCTTCGGTCTGGATCCAGCTCTTACAAAGATCTGAGATGACCGGACACCTGAGAAGAGATGTTGCCAACCCCTCAGAGGACCTCAGACGATGCCAACCATGAAACAACATACAGAACTACCAAATTTTGCTATAAGTTTGATCGCAAAATGTGTTAATAGTGTTCATCGTCTGTTTGATTACGTCTTTAATTGATTTTTCCGTACATTTCTGCCATATGTACATTAACTGACAGTCACCACTGATAAGCTACCACTAAATATTGTAGAGACATACCTATCTTTAAACAGCATGTAAAAGCACAACTAATTGGGGAATTGGACACTTCATGCATCGATGTTTCTGTCTTGTCCTGTCCAGATTTTACAGTATGATGAAAGTCAAAAGTCTGTTTCCACTAGACTCCATCAGGGCAAAGACAATCAGAAAAGACAGAAACAAACCAAAAACAAACAACTGGCAAAAACCCATCACCTCCGCCCGAAAAGACGGCCTCCTGACATGACAATAATCGCTCTAATATTTCATTTCATGGCCAGACATGCTCGCTGTGCTCTTTACGTTTTCCTCCAGACATATAATAAACAGTCATCCCCAAGGCAGGCCGTAACATGCTGAAATCAAATTTGCGATGTTTATTTTGCTGCTTGTAAATATAACATTTCTCTATCAGAGCCATAAATCACGAAGCCGAGCGGCTCTCTGAGCGAATCTGAGTACAGATGCTAATAGCAAGTGAAAATTCAGGGAGATTTCTTGCTTGTGTTTCTGTGCTTGAGGGCACAGCAGCTTGATAAAGAAACACAGAAAGAGAAGTGAGAGAGAGCTACACAGACACAAAGACAGTCATGCATTAAAAATATATTAGATAACAGGAGGGGAGACAGAGAGCAGAATCCTGCGCGGGACGGCAGACTGACGAGCAGCCACTGTGAGCAGCGTTTGATGGATGGGGAGCGTCACCGCGCTGAAAAGAAGACAGATTAAGCATGTCCAAGAAACACTTTTCTCTCTGAGGAATATACGGAGAGATGTGTATCCCGGCGCGGCACTGCAGCCGGACAGCGTCATCTCTAATGATGCCTGTGTGCTGAGATAAAGCACGAGTCTGCGGCTCACGGTGAAAAATGACCTGGGAAAACAGCCTCCGTCGCAACACTCAGCAATTGCATTTCACGGTAAACCAGAGTCAGCACACAGGCCAGACCGGAACGAGAGCTGCCGGATACACGCGACAAACCTTTAATAAAGCCATGAAACAACATACAGAACTACCAAATTTTGCTATAAGTTTGATCGCAAAATGTAATCATCGTCATTAATATTAAACGTAAAAAAAAACAAAAAAACCTTTCTCTATTTATTCCTTCCCTTTCTAGCTTGTACTTATTTGAACAATGCCTAAAACTTGGTATTACAAGCACTTCCTGTGTCTGTTTGCCTCTTTAAGAAGAATCGCTTTATGTATTCCCCAATTGTAAGTCGCTTTGGATAAAAGCGTCTGCAAAATGACTAAATGTAAATGTAATAGTGTTCACCGTTTGTTTGAATACATAACTGGACTCCTGTGAAATCCAGAACTAACTGGATGATTTTTACTGTACATTTCTGCCATATAGACATTAACTTGACATAGTCACCACTGATAAGCTTCTCCTAAATATAATGTAGTAACTTAAATTTTCTGTGAAGCTGCTTTGCAACGATTTGTATCGTGAAAATCACCATACAAATAAACGTGAATTGAACTGAACATAGGCAGGCTAAAAGTCATGTTAAAATCATAGAAAAGTTCATTTAAAATGAAATGAAAATGAAAGAAAAATTAGGAGAAAGGCAATTAAATAATTTATGTGTTTAATTACATTTATATAACATTTGAATAATCAAAATTACATCAGATAATAAATAACCTTTAAAATGTATTTTCAATGTATTTATACATTTATAATGATTATATTATTAATATAAATAAAATTAAATATTCATAAAATTCATAAAAATGTATTTATGAAATAAATAAAATTAAACTAATTAATTTAAACTATGAATGAATGAATAAATGGAAAACAAAAATAGAACAATGAACGAATGAATTAAAGAACAAATAAATTATTAAATTAATTACAGAGCAAACAAACAAATAAATAAAGTATAGGTGATATGTAGCCATATCCATGCAGTCTGGTAGATCTGTTAAACCCACATAATGCATCTGGTCAACAATCACACCATGATCCCGAGTGTTATCAGAGCTGGTCAATTTTTATTTGTTTGATAACAGGCTGTGTGAACAGCTTGACGTTCCGGTGATCCTTTCCAAACGCCGCTTTTTTTGGGCTCGATCAACAGCGGGCTTCCATGGTGAACAATCCCAGCATGCCAGCGGGAATGTCAACGCAAAAAGACACGGACAACATCTGGTACAGCTCACCATCGCTTTCTCACACCGATCTGTTTCAGAAGGACCATTCGTTTTGAACAAACCACATCTGCATGCGAGAACGTGCAGTATTTCCAACCAGAAAGGTAGAAAGGTCAGAGATTTACTGGCGGCACTGGTGGCATTTTACTAAAGTCCCCAGCGAGACTGGAAAAATCTGCACCGTCACTTTCAGACAGTTTATCAATCTGGCATTTCAGGTGGGGACTCAAAACCAGTCGTGGCATGAGAATGGATCAAATAAATGAAAAGTGGTATCTGAAAAAGGTGTTTCTAGCAATCTAGAGGCAGCATGGCCGCCGAAGAACTCCCTCAGGATTACAACCATTCCCTCCACTGCTCAGGCAATCAAGACTTATCGACTGAATGATCTAGGAATCCAAATGCAGCTCCGCTCACCACTCGCCTGAGCGTATCTGCAATAATGTCATGCCATGAGGGAGCCAGACTATAGCAGCCAGACTATAGCACGCTGAATACCAGATTAAGACAGCACAAACCGCAGCTTTACTGGGCCAAAAGATGAATCCTGAGTAAAACATAAATGCAAGGTCAGAAAACATGGATGCTTTCAGTGCAAACATATCTGATCTACACTATATAATGTGGGATGAAATGCATGCATTAGCCTCTTTATCACTTCCCGACAATCATGGGAAGATACAACAGAATGTGTGATTCGCGCTTTACTTGTGATGGGAAATGCGGTTTTTGTTGTGCAAAACTGTTGCATCGCTTCTAGACCAATCAAATAGGGCTGGGTAAAAAAATATCGATATCTCAATTTTAATCGATTCTCATTTTTACAGAACAATATCGATTCTTAAATCCCAAGAATCGATTAGTCTAGCCTGTTTTCAGTTAATGGACAGAACATTGAAGTGCACCTCCCATCCAATATATCGCAATAAGCATTGTGTTTTGGTACTTTTAATAAGAAACAAAGTCTCAGATTTCAAATTCTGTCCATTGTATTGCAGTATTCAAACAGTAAATGCCATTTTGGCACTGTTTAATCTGTGACAGATCGCTGAAGCACATAGCGCACGTGAACTGATCAGATCTCCTCCACATTAATACCAGTTTCAGCACAAAATAAACATGACTAAACATCCAAAGGTAAGTTAAAAGAAAGAGTACAACATTACAATCCGTATCCTGTCTCATGTAATCTCTCAATCAGTGTTTCAGCCGCGCAAAGACGTCAATATAACGTCTTGTAAACAATGTCACATAACGTCACATTTACCTCAGAAAAACATATTCAGTGACCATAAACTCATTAGTCAGATAGAAAAATAAGCTGTAAATATATGCACCATATAACATATTCATTATAATTTTTACTGTTCTTCAATGTTTAATTTATGTTTGAATAAATCCATCAAGTTTTTGACAGCCACCATTTAAAGGTTTATATTTTAAATTTATATATAAAAAAAACGCAAAAAAAACCGAATTGAAGTAGAAATATTATTATGTAATTGTAACTTTATAATTTTAAAAACATCATTAAGTGTAATTTTAGCAGTTGTACTACAAATCAGTCAATTTTAACCTTCAATATTATAGTAATGTAGTACCAACTGACTCTCATGTATATTTTACGGCATTAGTTGAGAGATTTTTTTTTCCCTGAGGAAATTTGGCATTTGTACCTAATATGTATCCAAAATAATCGATATTGAATCGAATCAAATCGAATTGGTAATTGAATCGAATTGCAAGCTTGTGAATGAGAATCGAATCATGAAATTTGTGTCAAAACCCAGCCCCACAATCAAACCTCTGGAGACAGCGTGCATGTAGATGCTTTTTTTTTTATATAAATAAAGGGCTTTTAACAGATGGATGGATTCATTCTAAGGTTTGGATGGTATTTCAGAGTTGGCGAGACAAAACCGAGCTGCTCTGTACATATATTCACATACCTTCAATACATACACTGTCATGCAAATGATTTAAAACAAGAAAAGGCTAGTTGGTATATAGCATGTTTCATACAGAATGGCAATTCAATAGGCATAATACATTTTTTTAAATAAAAGTCATGTTAAAATACTAAAATACAAATACAAATACAATTTCAAAATAACTAACTAAATAAAATTGAATGAATGAATGAATGAATGAATGAATGAATGAATGAACAAACGAAGTGGCTTATGAATGAATGAATGAATGAATGAATGAATGAAAGAAGACAGATTAAGCATGTCCAAGAAACACTTTTCTCTCTGAGGAATATACGGAGAGATGTGTATCCCGGCGCGGCACTGCAGCCGGACAGCGTCATCTCTAATGATGCCTGTGTGCTGAGATAAAGCACGAGTCTGCGGCTCACGGTGAAAAATGACCTGGGAAAACAGCCTCCGTCGCAACACTCAGCAATTGCATTTCACGGTAAACCAGAGTCAGCACACAGGCCAGACCGGAACGAGAGCTGCCGGATACACGCGACAAACCTTTAATAAAGCTGTGATCTGTCCTACTGTGCAGAACTCTCATCATATAGTGCATAAAATAATAAAATGAATGATAAATTGATTGAAATTATGTTGTATAAACATAATGTTCAATAAACAAAACAACACAACACAAAACAAAACAAAATAAAATAAAACAAAACAAGTGCCTGGTCTTGAAGAAAAGATATTTCTGCTAAAGTCTGCTAAACCCTTTTTTATAGACATGCTTATAGATAAAATAAATTGATTAAATTATAAGGTTTTGTTTAAAGATTTGTTTGTATGTTTAAAGATGATGATGATGATGATGATAATAATATAAATATAAATAAAAGAAATAAAATAAAAAATGTTTAAATAAAATAAATTAAATTAAAATAAAAAAGATGAAGTGCCTGAGCCCGAAGAAAAGACATTTTTAAATGATTATAGAAATAATTTGATTAAATCAAGTTTAAAGATAAAATAAAATAACAAAACAAAAAATAAAACAATAAAATAAAATAAAGAAGTGCCTGGTCTTGAAGAAAATATATTTCTGAAAGTCTGGTAAACCCTTTTCTATAGAAATGCTTTTAGAAATAAAGTTATTAAATTATAAGCTTTTGTTTAAAGATTTGTTTGTACTGTATGTTTAAAGATGATGATAATAATATAAAAAAATAAAAGAAATAAAGGTAAATAAAAATAAAAAAATAAAATAAAATAAAAAAGATGAAGTGTCTAAGCTCAAAGAAAATATTTTTTTAAACGATTATAGAAATAAATGGATTGAAATTATGTTATGCAAAATAAAATAAAACAAACTAAAATAAAATGCTCGAGCTTGACAGAAAGATATTTCTAAAAAACTGCTAAACTATTTTTATAGAAATGCTTAAAGAAATAAATTGATGATTTATTTTAAAATATATCATATTTGAGCTTTTATAACTATTTTCTGTTATGTCCTTTTGTAATGCTGACCTTTGGATAAACTCTGAAGTGAATCAAGAGGTCACGATTGTCCATGAAGTCCTTTTTCGTTTTTGAGTTACAGAGTTCAAAAGGTTCTTCAGTACCAGACTGACCCTATTCTCTTGGGCGAAAAATCAAGATTGCACCAAGTTTATGGGTCACTACACAACACCAAAGCAGGAAAAGATTCTTAAAGCACTTTAAAGAAGCCATTTAAAAATGGCCAAAATGGTGGAAATATTGCCAGGTTATACATATTTATACTCGTCCATCCCAAAAGGGTCAATTAAATCAAAACTTCTAACCATTTGTCTTGACCTCCTGAGAATAGTGTCCAGTGCTAAAGAATGACCCTTTCTCCAGTTCCAAGGG